TCCAAGACCCCCGAGGCCTAGACGCGCTCGGTGTGTTGGAGGGCTGTGTCCTGGCGCAGCCGGCTCAGCCCTTGCTGTGCGGCGTGGGGACGCGGTCGCTGCAGGGCGTTAGGGGCGCGGGGTGGTCCGTGGCGGCGGGCGGGCGGAGCAGGGGAGGGTGAGCCTCTGCCCGGTGTTTGGCCGGAGCCGAGCCAGTTCTGTGGAAGTGGCGCGCGGTCGCTCCGCGCCCGTGGTGTTAAAATCGGGCCAGCGGGCGGTAGGTGGGACGCTGGCTGTGGAGATGCAGGCCCCTGCCTGGCAGTCCGCCTGTCCTGCAGCGGAGGGCCCGCAGGGTGCCCAAGAGCCGTCGCGTCCCTCTTCTCCTGAAATGCCCCGGCTCCGGCCAACCGGCGCTTGTGCGGGTGCCTCTGAGACGGCCCCGGGGCGGGCCGCCCGGCCCGCTGGGCCGCTGCCGGTGCTTCTCCGGCGCCTCAGCACCTCGGGTTTCGCTTCCTCTGCTGCGTTTGTTGTGCTCGAAGCGACTGTAACGTAAAGGACCACTAGGTCGAGCCTGTTTTTAAAGTTCCCAACTTTGAAAGCGGTGTTTCGGTTTACTTTAACACAAGCCCTCATTCTTTCTTTCTTTTACGCGTTAAGATCGATCATATTTAACTGTTTGTCTAAACAAAATGCCTACTGGGGTTATTTTTAAGTAGGCCCCGTTCCTGCCAGCCTGCCTGCCTGCCCCTGAGGCAGGCTCCCTTTGGGACAGCCTGTGTGCAAAATGGTTTTTTTGGACCAGTAGTGAAAATTTCTCGGCGTGCGGGTGGGTTCATCCCTGTCAGCTTTCTCTGCAAAAACTGCAGGTTGTTGCATATGCGTTTGCTTGCTTTCTGTTTTTGTTAGTCCTCAAGCTCCAGGGACGAGGCTTTAAGGAACAAACGTGTCCGGATCCTGTCACGCGGGCTGCCGAAACAGAAGCCCATAGAAGGAGTTAAGCAGGTGGTGGTCTTGGCTTCTGGAAAAGGGGGAGTTGGAAAATCAACAACAGCAGGTAAGATTTTTTTTAAATTATTTTTATTGTTTACTTTGCACATTTTATAATACTTCATAAGGAATATTTGGGCACTGGTGTCATTACCTTGTAAGTGAGTCCCGCTAACACAGCTCTTCACCTCTGTCAATCCCATTACAGCCATTGAGAATCTATGTGGGTACAGAGGTCTTGGCTTTAAATGAGGTGCAAATTGAGCAGACAGCTTTGAAATAGTATCTTTGTAATAGTGCCATGTTGTCCTGGGACAGTCTGCTTTCTTAAGAGGTGATGTAAGCTGAGGTGGGAAGGTCATACGCCAGTGCAGCGATACTGTTCCTCCTTCACTAGCAGCATAGGTGTGCCTGTACAGTGCTCCTCTGTGCTATGTTGGCATAGTCATGTGCTCTGTAGAGGACGGTAATATTTAGAAGGTTTCAAAATCAGGTCTCTGTCCAATTTTTTCAACTACTTGTGTAGGCATTTCATAAACAAAAGGTGAAACAGTAGTTATGAACCACACAAACTGACCAGAGCCTCGTGAAGCACCTTGAACTCTTCTCTCAGGCCCACCATTAGGTTTTGAATTAATTTTTCTGTAACTGTGCAGTTCCTAGGTGGTAGAACAAGATAGTACATGGGTTACCTGTACTGCAGAAATTTGCTTGAACTTAAACAAAAATGACACTGAAGGTAAACCTCTCTCAGAAGATCTCTGTAAAGTGTTAGAAATTTGTTTAAGGATCTCTTCCTTAGCATCTAGATTGGAAAAGAGTCATCCTTTAGTTGAATGTTGTCTACTGTTCATTTGCTGTGAATAACACACTGATGTAGCTCTTAATTTCTCATTTTGTGGTTTGTATTTCAGCCATGCTTGAAAAGGACTGACTGTCTAATAAATACTAGAACATGCAAATGTGATAGTAAGAATAACTGTACTTAAAAAATAATTTGAAAGTATTTTTTTCTGTACATAGGATACACATATATACTATCCTATAGATAGGACACACATTCCTGTACAAAGACGTGCAAAACAATCAACACTTGCATTTTTTAATGTGATGTAGCTTTTGGTTGATGGTTATAATTCATAGGCTGGTTGTTTCAGGTTACTGAAAATACCAAATATCTATAAATCACCAATTTACAAAATGAACATAATTTGAATAGTAAATTCAGATTATCCTCCTCGTGTCTGCAAACAAATGTGCTAATTTAAGTTCTGCTAACTGGCGTCTGTATGTAATTTGTACACAACTATGTAATTTGTACATGAAGTACGACACATACATAAATAATATTTAGAGCTAGGAGTTCATACCCATGCATTTAAAAATAAAAAATCAGGGTTCAACAAGCATTAAATAAGAGAGTTGAAATGTAAAGGAACCATTCAAGTACTGGTGTATTGGACAGCCTTTTGTTAATGAATTTATTCATTTATAATATTGAGAAGAAAAAGGAATAATCTAAGTCCTTGTTTATTAAAATGAGAATAAATAATTATCATGGTTCAGATGAACAATTGAAGATAAGGTAACTCTGATCAAAATATTGCATGGCATCATTGCTGAATTATGTCCTTAAATTATGTTCTTTGTAATGGAGGTTTGTGGGGAACATGTTTGGTGACAACTCTGCTGACTCATTTTGAGAGCAGGAGTTGAGAAGGAAGGAGGTTAGTACATACCTCTAATTCCTAAAGCACCACAGAAAATATCATCAGTCTTATTGTCTGCATCTCTCTCAAGGACTCTTAAGGCTCTTTGTATTCTTTCCCCCAGTGTGTTTATGTTTCAGTTGCTCTGGATCTCCATTTCAGGACAAGTGGATATGCATTCTGGTCAAGTTTGTCAGGACCATTCCTTAACCTGTCGAATAACTCTTTCTGTTTGTTGCATATAGCTTTCATATTGTATTCTCTGTTGCTTCTAGCACTTTTTGGTCTTCTGAAATCAGTGTAGTCAATCATTACAAGAAGAAATTGTGAGATAGGAAAAATATTTTTCAATGCATGTTTAAATACTTTGGTTGTTTTTTGGTTTTGTTGTTTTTGTTTGCCTAGTGTAAGTGTTGGTTTGTTTGTTTGCTTCCTATGTCTCCTATCTCTTTCCTGTCAAGTTTCTGCTGTATTTACTCTATCTGGCCAAAGTCATGGTTGGGTTTTATTTGTTTCTTTCTTTTTTTTTTTTTTTTTTTTTTTTTTTTTTTTTTTTTTGTCTCTTCTGTCCCCTCTTTTGCATTACCCTGAAGATGAGAGTACTGTAGAAAATTGATCCTGGCATGAGAAGAGCTCAAAGTGTGGTCTTTAAAGAAGAGAAGTTTCTAATTTATTGAAACTCTTATTGTTTTCAGCTGTGGAAGTGGAGTAAAATTTGTGGCTGGTGTTCTTGCTCACATTTTGTTAATCCTGCATTTTGAGGAAAATAAAACTACTGATACAACCAACTACCTTGGCCTTCAGACATTTTTAGCGAAGACTAAAGGGCTGAGATTTTTTTGTTATTGTTTGGGAGAGCTGATACTTTTGACCATGTGTCGACTTTATCTTGGTTATATTAACTGTGTTTTAATTTTTTTTTTCCTCTTGCATGCTTCTATTCTGCATGTAAAATGTACTATTATTGAAACTCACCCTTTCAAGGTAGAGGCCAAAATCCATCTATTTGCCTGACCAACCCAGACACAGGTCTGGGCTTTGGCAGAGACGGTAATAATGTTTGTTCGTGGTTCTTTTCCAGGATCAATGTCATGGTTTTTGATTCTGGGCTGTCTCTATGTGTTAAAATATTCTGATAAATAGTCATAAACCGGTTATTCTATTTATAAATGCCACTTATATTCAGATGTAATTATTGAAAGTTATCTTTCAGAGAGAGTTCATCTTAGTTATCTGTAGGTATTTTATTGATGATATATATTAACCATGTCACAGATACAGACACACTCATCTGGCTCTGTACTTTGGGCACGGAAGTTTTATTTGTATTGTTAGCTCAGTGTTCTGAGAATTCAACTGTGCTATTCCTAGGGCCAGTTTGGATTTGGAAGTTAACAAAGTACAAACTAATAAACCTTCCCAGACTTGTACTGATTGATTTCAAGAAGACTAACTCAGATCTCCTTGTGCATTGTTCTTGATACTGGTTGGCTGGTTTAGCATTGGTGGAGATACCATGGTGACTTATCTTGGAGCCTGCTGTGAAGTTCTGAATAATAATAATAATAATAATAAAAAGTTGTATTGAACTTCTGGAATGTATCTGCCCTGCTCTCTTGTGTTATGGGAACTTACTAGTTAGGGCCAACATCAATGCTTAGGGTCAGGTTAGGTCCTATGCTGCATCTCTACACCCTCTTGGAACTGACGATAATACAAAGACAATGGAGTGCAAGAATAATCAGCTGGGATTCAACAGAGAATATGAGGTGTCGAGCTAGATGTCCAGCTAAAACCCTCAGGTTTTCCCACTATATTATTCCTACTGTCTCCCTTTTTCCCCTTCAATAGTCAAGTAGCCTTTATTGAAGAAGCATTGTGGATCATACCTTAATTTTCACATATGGTAATTGTATAGGAAGAAGATAGATGTATAAAGTGGTTTTAAGGCAGTGTGTGGAGTAACTTGCTGCTTCTTTGTGTCAGACATGAGCTGCAGGGTTTTTTTTCTTTTTTTATTTATAATTGGTTTGCTTGTTTTTTCTCCTTATCTGTGATTTGTAGATTGGTTTCCAAGTTTCAGAGGATGAATTTTCGTCTGATTGATTCAGGGAACAGTTAATCAAGCATCTGTTTAACTGAAAAACTGAAAAATAAAATCTATATGCTGTATCAGCTTAGGAGTAAACAAAGGCTGTGCGCTTCTTAGGGAGAGCTGTACAATTTTCCTAGTTAACCTCCTCACCGTTTTGTTTAAAGGAACTTACCTTTCTCAACACTAAGTTCTTTAAGCTAGGAATCTGGCTCCCCAGCTTGTTCTCAGTACCTTCATACTTTTCCAGTACAACAAGGCTGACCACAGCTTATTTTTTTTAAAAGGCTCTGTGGACTGACATACGGTCAGTAAAGAAAGCAAGAGATGTTGCCCAAGAAAGAGTTGTGTGTGTGTGGTGGTTTTTTTCCTGGGTGGTTTGGCTTTTTTTTTCTTGTTTTAAAACATGTTACTGCTTGGATTATAACAATTACTATTTGGTTATACTGAAGCTTCTAGGAGGTTTCCCAACAGAATTGAAACTGGTGAGCCATTAAAAGATACCATTTTTTGCAAGTGCTTTTTAGTTATGGGAGTTAAGTATTGATGGAAATGTAAAAGCTGTAAACAAACTCACAGTCTTTTTAATTGCTTCATCCTGTTTTTCTGTTTCTTTAGTTGTTACAGATGCTTTCAGGGTAGATGAGACTTTGTTTTCTGACATAAAAATCAAGTGAAGGGCATGCATTGAACCTTCTTCCAGAAAATATCCACATTTAATATATCGCCAGAAATCAAAAAAAGGGATATGATAATCTTTCTGGTCACTGTACTTTAATAGTTTAGGTCAATACTTACCTAATCTCTAGCTTTAAGAAAATTCACTAGAGACTGTGGTGAAGGTTACCGATGGGAGGGTTATTTTAGTTTTATAGTACAGTGTCCACTTTTGAAAAGTCAAAATTCTTTTCTTAATGTTATCCTTTGGCAAAATACTTAGATTGTATTTTTATTTTGCAGTGTCCTCTAGAAAGTTAGAGTTTGCAAGTTTTTGCAGATTAGCTTGAGTTTGTTAGCCTGTTAGCAAAGATGGACTGAAATGTGGGTGCTGCTGTCACTTAAGCTGGTACTATTGTAGAGGTGCAAGAAGCTAAGAACCAAGATAATGAATGCAATTATTAAGTAAGTGTGATGTATTTATATTATATTTTCTCTTGTGAGTAACGATAACATTATCAATATTTAGGAATTAAGTTTTCTTGCGCTTAATCTTTTTTTTTCTTCTTCCTCTTTCTTGCAGTGAATATAGCCCTTGCCCTAGCAGCAAATGATTCGGTAGGTGAACATCTAATTATCAGCCTTAATGTGAAACAAACGTGTGTCATAAATAAAATGGTTACTGCCAGGGGCAGTCACATACATTAAATCTAAGTATTTACTGTGACAGTTAATTTCTTTATTTGTTTTTCATGGACTTTTGAGTTTATATTAATTTGTTTATATTTTATCAGTACCATGAATGACTTAGTAGCTCTCATCCTTCATCTGGATTTGGCTGTGTCCTTTTACTTGTGTGTCTCTTGAGTGCAAATGCAATTCTGCAAGGATGTGTAGACATAGTAGAGGATGTTTGTGCAGGTTGAAGACAAATAAATAATTAAAGTCTATCACTTCAGAGCACTGACTTGGAAAAAATAAGAGTAAGTGCTTGATGGTGTCCAAAACATTTTTTTTATAGCTCTAAAGATTTACTTTTTCTAGAGAAATTAATATGTAAAAATTCTTTATATATAAACAGCTGGGGAGACAAAGGAGCTACATATCTTCCCTAAAGCTTGGAAATACATTTTTTGAGTGACAAAATATCATTGCCCAGTTAGGTATTGCTCAAACTGTTACTTGGACTATAAATAGACAGTGAGAACCATTCAAGTGTAAAAACAACAGGTCTTCATTATGTCCACCTGCTGCTGGAAACTGGGAGTAGTTCCATTGTGCATGTTTATTGCCACAGAGGTAAACTCAGAAGAAAGCTTCCCTTCCTATGTAACGGTGTATAAAGCAGATTTTGTACTCCTAGAGCATTAATTTAATACAAAGTATCCACATGTACTTTAATCTGGTAAATGTAGTATCTTTTTCTTGTTGTAAAAGATGAGTAAAATAAAACAACAGGTAGAAGGAGCGAGGTTTACATGCAATTTTCACGCTTCCGGTAGGAATTTTGTAAAAGATTAAAAAAATTTCCATAAACTCAGTCATGCTTGATAAGAAGAGAGTGTTTAAAGCTGTTATATGAAATATGTACTGTTTGTAATGGCATCTGATCTTGATATTTCACAGGTTTTAATTCTGTGTTTTAAATAGGTTGCTGGAGTAATTTGATTTCAGAGAAAAATCTGTCATCTTGAAAAGCAAAACTGCTTGAATGGTTCCTTCTAATTAACTTTAAAACATGGCATTTGCTGTAATACTTCTCCAAAACAAATGTGATCCTGCAATGTGATCTGTGTTGTGGTATGGTCATTGAGTAGCTCCATGGAAACCACGTCAACTAATTGCACATAACTTTCTGTATCAGCTTAAGTGTTTTTAGGATTGTGCCTGATACTTTTCAAACATACAGTTTTGTGCATTATTTAAATTTATATTTAGATAAAACACCTCTTAGTAATTCTGACATACACAAGTTTTGGGATTATGTCCTTTTTCAGGAGTTAAATGTCTGGTTTTAAACGTAATAATGTGATACACCACTTCAGTAGCCCATTAAAACACTTGTAAAACACACAAATAAGAGGGACCATAGTCTAGAGTGATTGAAGAGGTTGTTGCTGGAGTTATTTGGAAAATCAGGGACAGAGAAATAATTTTAAATTAAATTGAGCCAAGAAAGTTAAGTAAACATAGAATGTGCTAGTAATTTCTAATGCTACGATTATGTGGTAGTGTAAAATTGGAGGCCAGCATCTGGTGGATGTTAATCAATGAAGAGCAGCTGAAACTGATGACATAGCTGTGACTTGCATGAATTGATGGTCACAATTTAGCAAGCTGCTGCCATGGTGAAATTGTGCATTGATGCAGGTTAGAAAATATGAAATTAAGGTGGATTGAATAAACTCAACTCTATATTATTTGTTCATGCATTAATTTTTTTTTTTAAGATAATGATGTCATGTTTATGTTTAACCTTTGGGCTTGAATTTGCTTGTGTGTTTGTTTGTGTACTCCCATTGATTTCAGTTGACTAGTCTTGTGAATCAAGGTTATGAAATTAGTATCCCTGGGACCTTGATCCAGGCTGGGATTGTCCAGCGCTCTGAATTGTAGGGATCATTGCAATGTTCAGTTTTGTTGTGGTGAAATAAAGGTTGTTTTCCAGAGTCCATTGGTGGTTCCTGCTGAAGTTTATAGTGAATTTCTGTGACCCCCCATGTGCAGCAATGGACCTCTTCATTTTACTTTTAATAACTACTGATTGTGCATCACCTTCCCATGGTTTCCCTTCCCTTCATTGCTATTGTAAGTTCATCTCTTTCTGAGGAAGCAGTAATGATTCTGTTAGTAGATCAGAGATTCGGCAGCCTCCTGCAACTTCATTACAGTCCTTATGTCCCTTATATGCAAAATACAGATTTATAGAAACTGATGCTTGAACTTCATGTACTGTTTAAAGAAGGAAAGAAAGGACTCGTGAAGTAAGATAGGTCACCATAACAATAAAGGTCTGTGCTTCCTTCATTAGATATAGCCTGTATCTGTTACATGTTCAAAATTTGTAACTAGATTTTCAAAGCAAGTAGTATACTGGAGCTAAATGACTTTAAAAATAGTGTTTTCTTCTGATCTTTCAAGTGTTCTTTTTCTAAGATTATACAGGTCACAGACTATTGAGAGCAACTGTGTTCTGGTGAGGGAGATCTGTGGAAGATGCTTTCAGAAGAGATTGGATTAGGGTAGATTCTTGCTGCTTTCAGTAACAGCTGTGACATCTTACTGTTGTTTGATAGTGTCATAAGCTGGAAGAAGATTAACAGTCAAAGCATAAAGGAATTTTTTGTCCTCTTGATAAAAGAAAGCTTCCTTCCATCTTTTCTTAAAAGTCTACTTTCTATAGTTAAACTAAACCAAACCCCCGCTGTTTCTATAGATAGATTTTTTTTTTTTCTTCCCCTCTTCTTAATGTGGTAGCTTTTTTGTTTGTAGTGATTGTCTGAAGTATTAAGGCATCGACAGAGCCTTGGACGCTGTCATTGGCGCACAGTGTTGTTGGCAGAGCTGGGATTAGAATTCAGGAGTTCAAGTCTTGCATGCTGGTGCTCAGTCTGTTTGGCATATTTTTACCTCATGGTTACAGAGTAAATAATTCAGGACAGGATTTCATTTAGATGCCTAGATACCACGTCCAAGACAAGAGTAGGGTTTTTTTGAGTTTTGTTTTGTTTTGGGTTTTTTTGATGCAAAGCCAGGGAAACAAGCAGGGCAGTCTCTTATCCCTTTCTGAAATATTAGGCTTTTGGTACCCCCGTGTTACCTGTTGTAGATGGATTCGTTAAGAATTGTATAAGCTCTTGCGCCTGTACCAAGACCTATAAATCTACACAGTGTTCTTTTTGTGCTAAGAAATAACTTGAAGTTTCACCCTTGTGTCCTATTTTTAATTGCTTGCTTAGTTTGACAGCTGATTCTTTCGTTCTTTTGATGTACCAGCAGTCAGTTGTGCTCCCCTTGGAGCATTTGGGAAGAATTTTTGGGTTTCGTGCCAGGACGATTCATATTCAGACTAGAATGACTATTTATGAAAGCTGCCTGGCCAGAGAGGATTTATTATAGTAGAAACAAGTTGAATTAATAGATGGCAGCAATAATAGGATAGAGATTGCTTGTTTATGAACAGAGTATTTTAGTGAGCAAACACCAGCTGTGCATGACTAAGGATGGCACAAATCCAGTTGGGAGGCTGCATGCTTGCGCTGTCACTACGAGGCAAACTCCCCCGTCAGATTTCCTTTGACTCTTCTTTTCTTTCCAGGAAGATTTACGTTTTTCACTATAGGACGAAATGGTTTTTATGTTGCGAAGGACAGAGGAGCAAGGAGTAAAACCGTATGGAACAAATCAGCATGTAAGCATAAGCAGGTGGCTTCTGCCTGCGGTGGTGGGGTCACGCGATCAAAGGCATCGGTTTTAACTGTTCTAGCCCAACGCTGCGTCAGGGGATTGTTGGGTCACGCAGACCGGGACCAAAATTTGAAATGCATCAAGCAAACCCGCTGGTTGCTGAGCAACGCGTTATTTTGAACAGAAGACCGTCAGCGTTTGCGTAGGGAGGGCGAGAGCCGGCCGGCAGAGGGAGCGCCGGGGGGCGGGCGGGGCGCTGCGGCCCCCCGGCCGCCTTGTGCTGCAGGAGGGGGCCGAACGCCTGGTCTTGTACTGCAAACAAAGCTGGGAAGGGTGATGGTTAGCCAAAGGAAGAAACACTTACTCCAACAGTACCGTCGTCAAAGTGTCACAGCGCAGGTTTTATTTATTTTTTTAAAGCGGAAAACTTGTGGATACCTGCCTGTTGTACACATAGGCAAGTAGGGCGTCTCTGACAGCTCTATAGTGAGTTATGGCATAGGAACTATGTAGTTATGAGCAGAGTCTTCGTGTGCATTCATTGTTGTGATAATAAAAGTAGTTTTATTTCTTTCAAAATGTGTATTTAATCAAACAACACACATTCATTTTAAAACTACCCAAAATCTACCCAGCCTATTTTCTTCACATTCCAGC